CAGCAGTGTACTTCAAGGATATCCTAACGACCAGAAAGTCCCACTGGAATTGGGAGACAGACCTCACAGAGAGTTCCAACTTCTGGGACACACTACAGGTCCGGCTCTCAGAAAGCGGTAGGATGGAATTGGATAGGCCAGTCACGGATGAAGAACTGAGACAAACATTGAAAGAGATGGCCAAGGGAAAGGCGCCAAGGGAAAGGCGCCAGGGGACGATGGTCTCCCTGTGGAATTCTTCCAAACTTGTTGGTCTTCACTGGGATCAGATGTGGTAAAGCTCTTCAATGATATCTTAACAGGGGGCACGCTGGGGGTTTGTATGACGACGGGCATCATTTCGTTGCTGTACAAGAAGGGGGATCAGAATGACATCCATAATTGGAGGCCAATATCGTTACTGAACGTGATCTACAAGATCTTGGCGAAGACGCTGGCAAGAAGATTAGGTAGGTTCCTACCTGAATTGGTGGGAAGGGACCAGGGGGCCTTTGTGCGGGGGCGGTCCATTTTTGAAAATATTCTTAAGCCTTGGAGATCATCGACAGAGAGAACCTGGACGTGGCAACACTGTTGATATACTTGGAAAAGGCTTATGACAGGGTCAATTGGACCTTTGTCATGACAACCCTCAAGGTACTTGGCTTCGGGGAGTCGTTCTGCAGATGGGTGAAGGTGTTGTACGCTGACTCAAAAGCAGCGGTACAAGTAAATGGGGTGACTTCGGAATATTTCAAGTTGTCAAGGTCGCTCAGGCAAGGGTGTCCCCTGGCGCCGCTGCTCTTCGTGCTACAGTTGGAAGTTCTCCTGGCAACAATCAAATCGAATCCAAGAATCCACGGCCTGGAACTGGTAGGTGGGGGAGACTGCAGGGTGAAGGCCCTGGCGGATGACTTGCTGGCATTGACAATCAACACAAGAGACTCTTTGGACGCGCTTCGAGGGTGCCTACAACGGTATGTGGAGCTATCGGAAGCGGCGATTAACTGGAAGAAATCAGTGTTTTTCTTGTCGGAGGGATGTCAACTCCAGGCGCAATGGGGGATGCAGAGAGTACCGGCAGAGGAAGCACAACGATACCTAGGAGTACAAGTGGCATTGGGAGATGCATCGGCCTCACAAAAACTAATTTTGAGGGAGAGGGTAATTACCAGAATCAGGAGTTGGGGTTGTGCCCCTCACCTATCTTTGATAGGCAGGGCCCTAGTGATTATTGTGCCCCTCACAAACTGTTTTGTCCTAAATGTTGATGGCACCCCCTTTTCTGCAGCGTCTAGGCCAGGGTGCTTTGGTCAGAAGTGGATTCGGAGAGCGGTATCCACAGTGGGTGACCTGTGGAATGATCTTTCAAACCAGTGGCGCACCCCGGATGAGTTGAGAGAAAAATTGGGCAGACTGCCAACTCAATAAGAGAGACTATTTGAGCTGATCTAAGCAATTCCACTTGAGTGGAAACAGATGCTGGGACGAGAGGGGTTGAACCCGCCGGGGTCTTGGTACAGGGGTTCTACAGGTGTGGAGGAAGGTAAGTACTATCTCTTGAAAGGATGGGAAGAGGAGGGAACTGGGAAATGCCAGTTAGAGGAGTTCGTTGTAGACGATGCAACAAGAAACAGGCTGAGCCTTATACAGCCTATAACACGTCGAGGGCTTGGGGGTCTACAGGAGGTGAGGGTTAGACCGGTTTCGACAGGAGATAGAGGAAGGCCGATAGTGCTCACAGTGGTAGCTGGAGGTACCCCTCTGCAGGAATTAAGGCTAGATCCGAAAATGTGGGGATGGAAGGTGGGAAATGAGCAAGTAAATGATCTGTGTAATCTCAACAAGGCCCTAGTCTTGAGAAGAAGGGCCAAGAAGGGCAACCCGCCGGAAAAATTGGTTCACAGGTGGGAAAAGGCTCAACCTTTCCTGCAGGTGTCATCGGAAGAGAAGCTCACTCGTCTATGGAGACAGTTAATAGACCTGTCGTCGCAGAAACTGGCCTCGCTGCTTTGGCTGCAGTCTCACCTGGCAGTCCCAACAACTAAATGGCTGAGCAACAGAGGAATGCAGGTAAGACTGGAGTGCGACAGATGCGCCTGGCCAGTCGAGTCCATGACGCATATGTGGTGGGACTGCCCTCGTTCCAAGAAATGGTGAAACTGGTGGTTTCGGCATTGGGAGAAGATGTCGGGGACGAAAGAGCAACAAGGAATGA